CTAAAAATTTTGAGTTTATTGTGTGTTTTAAACTACTTTTCAGGTGTCTCACCAACGTCTTCCGTCGCCCTCCAATGATTTGTGAATTCATCTGCCGACGTTGATCTCCATACAATAAAGAGGAGACTAAGAAGAAGTTTGAGATTCATCACTGGAAACAAGACAACAAATTTGTGACAACTGGTGTGTGAAAATCAAAATTCCATATAATCAAACAAAAGGCAATAACAAAGAAAAAATTGAGCAAGTCGAAAAAACTCAAAAAAGAAAGGTAAACTGAAGTAAGAACGGTGTAAAGAATTTATCAATTTAGTCGATGACACTCAACTCCAAAAGTATAAAAACGGCACGCCCTGAAAAAGGCATTTTGAAATGATATTGCCAGTTAATACTCGCTAGCGGTCCAGTCATAAACCAACACTCTTATCGCAAATTGCAGGGAAATTCTCTTTTTTGATGGAGGAGAAGAGCCGTTTTTATAGCTTTTCAGTTTTTGATTAGGACAGTTTTTGATTTGATTTGGTCTGAAACTGACAATTTCGAGCTAACCGTTTTTTGGCTACTGTATTTTCAAAGTAATATCATGGAACAGTAGTAATCAACAAGTGAAATTTGTCTTAGAAGAGCCATGTTTTAAGGTAACTTCTATTACAGGGGTTCTTCCATCTTACCGGCAATTTTTTGTAGAAAATTTTAATCGAAAAATGCGGCAAATTCTCGTTTAAAATTCATAGAAATTTATCAATTTCTCTAAATTTTTTGTGCAAAATTCTCTAAATTGTTTGTGCAACTTTTGTGCAAAATGTGTCTCAACAGTTTTTTAGGAAACGGAAATGCTCAGGAACATTACACCGAAAATGTTGAGTTTACACAGAAATTGTTGATTTTGAAGAATTTATTTTGAATAAAGTTTTTTCCATCAGAGGTTACCATCTATTAGAGGAACTTTTCTATTGAATGGGTAATTTTAATACACGTTACAAGCTGAAACACTTGGTAAATAAGGAAAAATGAAATATCTGTTTGGATGGTTCTTATTGCTGTAATTCGAAAAAAAAAACTGAATCTTTCAAATTCAGTGTTTCTAATCAAACATTTCTTCTGGTAACACCGATCATGAGATCACTTCCGTTCGCACAATCGGAGAGATACGCCCAAAAACAGTTTAAGAATTCAAAAAAAATGACGTCAATATGCTACCCTACTTATTAGATAAGACGCTGAATATTTTTTTGCTTTTTCGGTTCATTCAAAAACTTCTCGAAACTATTTATTGCGTTGATATCAGAGTTTACGGGGCAGAAAAACAAAATTCTATAGTCAACAATTAAGACAAAAATCAGAAAAAAGA